AGCTTCGGGAGTCGGTGCGAAGGGAAGGGCTCGGTCCTGCCGCGCAGCAGCTGTCCGCCTGCGTGGTCCCTCCGGAGCCAGGGGGCCTGGGCATTCAGCAAGCCGGTGGTTTCATGGGTGGGCACTCCTCTGCCAAGAGATGCTCCTGCCCTGCGGGAATATCCGACAGCGCCTGCCCCAGCCAGCCGGGCCCCTTTGCTGTGTGCGACCCCAGTGATGTCGGATTTTAGGTCCCTGGATTAACAAAACGCCGATGTTTTCATTAAACATCATTTTAAACAACACATAACCGGTGTTTCTGTCTGCAGGTGCCGATTGTGTTGGCACTGTAACTCATGGCTTTGCTTTTGTTTCTCTTCGTACAAACGTTTCCCATGTGGGGAGGTCTGGCCCTTGCTGGAGTTTATTTTTAGGATGATTTTGTTCTCTTTATTTTAAGTGCGTTCTAGACTTCTGAAACTTCCTCTGGTGCACAAAGCCAGCGCTACAGATGGTGTGTAAACTGGGCAGTTTAAAACCTGTTGACCCAGTTAGCCACACGCTGGCATGACGTAATTGTAACCTTAGTTTCAAAACCTAAAGTGGGAAGTCACAGAGGTGTAGGCTCCAAACCTGCTGGTTTTAACGTTACATTTAAAATACCATTCCGATGGCAGCCTCCAGTTTTGGCCAGAGGTGAATCCCTGAGCCTACGATAACCCAGATGTTTGGGGGTTACTGGAGACGAAGAGCGTTGGTCCTTAGCTTGCTGTACGGGTGACGAAGCAGAAATTCATGTGGATAAGTGCTGCCCCTAGATTTCTCTTTGAACGTCCAGCTCTTCTCTGAGATGGAGGCTGCAAGGAAGATCTCTGCAGCTGGTGTGGACACAGTGAAACCAGCAGCTGTGCCTTGAGGTCGTGTCTTGCAGGCAGGTGCTATATTGAGGGTTGTTTGCTGACTTCTCATCCTTACCCTCTTCTAAGGAGCAGAGCACACGCAAGATGAACCAGGTGGTGCTTTCCTGAGAAATGAGAGTTACAAGCACATCCATGCTGTTAGCGAGGCTCTAGCCAGACCTTGGCAGCTGTTTGTCATGTCTAGGATGCACCTCGCTCCTGCCCTCGTTCCTGTTTGCAGCTCGCTGTGGGGCGGTGGCACCCTCAGGAGCGACCCAGCGGGCCGGGGGAGCAGACGGCCGAGCCTGGGACAGGTGCCGTGCCGCTCACGCGCTTTCCTTGGTTCTGTGGCAGCTCGGGCCATGCAGTCGTGTGCCATGGGCCACGTAACCATGAGCTGTGCTGTGGCATGACCACGGACAGCGAGGAGAACTCGGGTGTCTGCCTGAGATTAGATTACTAGCCACCCCGTCGTGTATTTCAGCAAATGCCTCGCAGAGCTGCTGTGCTTCGGACAGCGTGGCCGGCTGGCTGTCCTGGAACCTGCCACCTTGTCGTGGCAGATCGTCACAGGATTAATTGCAACATTAGCTCTGGTAGCGCAGGTGGTGTCGCCTTGTGCCCGGTAAGAGGCGCGTTGAAGTGGAGGAAAACACTCCAGCTTCGCCGAGGCGTCCATCAGGCCTGTGCGGCCCATCACGTTACTGCTCTCCGTGTTCTTCCCTCCTTTCCTTGCACCTCTGTCGCCTTCCCTGGATGTGTCACGACATAAGCACAATGTGAGACACCGCATCAGCGATGCTGTGGTTTTGTGGAGTCTTCTCTGGCACGTTGGGAGGTCAGAAACAGCAACTGTCAGTTTACTGAGAAGTGTCCGAGTTTGCTGTTCAGAAGAAGGTCCGAGCAACACTGTGGGAGGGGGACCTCTTGTCCCAGGAGCAGTCAGAGGCACTGGATTTTAGGAGAGCGCAAGCCCTGGAAGAGCACAGGTAGAGAACCGTTGTGCATCGACAGAGTCCGTTTTCTACCAGCTTTGATGTTCTTGCTCCTGTTCCTGGACACTTTTTCAGTAAATTTGCAGATCCAGATACAGGAGATGTAAAGCTCCCACCAACAGAGGATTTTTTTTTTTTCCTGCTTCCATCTTGTGCACGTGTTTAAAATAGTCCATGTAAACCAGCGTGGGTTTTTTTAACTCTGACTTGCAGACTTAGGCCTGGAGACAAAGTTCAGTGCCTGGTGCTTGATCTTACTACAATCAGAAATGAAGAGGTGGGCTGGCCAGCAGCCGTGTGCGGATAGCCGCGAGTGGTGCCTCGGTTTGTGAGGACGGCTGCGTTGATTCACCCGAGCTCCACTAAACGACATTCCTAACTTCTGACTGCTGGCAGTTTTGTTGGCTGGTTTTCAGGTTGTTAGTCTCCTCTGACTAGATGTTGATGCTCCTGCTCGCAACTCTGAAATTTCGTGTCTGTCTTGCACATCTGTTACTAATTGACTGTATTTTTGCCCAAGAGTGGATGGGCACCCAAAAATGAAGGAGTGGCTCCCCCAGGCTCTGTTGTGAGCTGTAAGTGGACAGTGGTGTTGCTCTAGTGAAACACGACAGGTAAAGTCTGCTGAGATGTGACTCAGTAGGAGAACATTTTGGGTAGGATGCAAGTTTGAAACACAGCACAGGCGCTGCTCTTTTGAAAGTTACAGTAACAGGGGTGTCATGTTTTCCTGTTGTCTTGGAGCACTCACATAAATATTTTCCTTTTTTTTTTTTTTTTCCTGTAAAGCAAAAGCTGGCAGGCTGACAAACGGGCAGCTTACAGGACGGACTCTCTGGCTACTGACCATTTAGCTGGTAAGTTCTTATTTTGGGGGAGCCAAAGATCTTGCTGTTGCTGAGCTTGCTTATCAGAGTGGCTTCCTGAACGTATTCCTAAGTCATCAGGAGTTCAGGCACCTAAATAAGCCTTTTTAAGGAAAAGGCAGCATCCTGGGCCCTTTTTGTTTTCTCTCTAGGGTTACACAATGGTCTTGGACCTTCAGATACTCATTTAAAAACTGCACACTGTTAATAACTGATAGATTAATTAGAGTATGCTTTAACAGCTTCTGGTGTCCCTCTTTCCAGGGACTTTCTCAGGTTGCACATCTTCTGCCTTCTTAATGAGGGGCTCTGGTTTTGGTGGCCACTGTGCTGTGAGGAAATATCCCCCCTGAGTTCCTGTCTGGTTCAGCAAGAGAACTGGGCAGCTGACCGCTGCAGTAGGTGCTTTTCAAAAGGCTGTCTGGAAAAGTGCTCAGCAACACGCGCTTCGTCTTCCCGGAGCGACTTCTGCTCATCTGGAATGCTGTTGGTAATGGTGCTGCCACCTCTGTCTCTTCCAGTGGCATACCCGGATTGTGTGTGGGTGGGAAGTCGACAATGAGCTCCGTGGCAGTTTTGACCCAGGAGAGCTTCGCTGAACACCGCAGCGGCCTGGCTCAGCAGCAGGTGAAAGGTGAGAAAACGCCGTTGAGTTCCTGTGACGTGCCTGCAAACGCAGACCCCACAGGCAAGGTTCCTTGCTGTTACCCGAGCTCGCTCCGGGTGCCTGGTTCCCCACAAATGGGCAGACGTTGCATTCTCCATTCCTAGGTGGGTGTCCCACTGACCTCTGTCTTTCCACCAGCAGCGGCACAGAGGTGATGCCGCACAGTGCAGGGCCAGGTGGAGGCAAGCCTCTGATCTCTGTAGGGCTCTGGCTAGCAATGCTGTTGGTCATGGGACGGGGCACGTGCAAGAGTGTAGCATTGGGCTACGACAGCCGCATGGGATCAATGTGCTGGGCTGTCATTTCCGTCCTTTGCTCAGCCAGGTGCTGGGGAAAGTCAGTGTAACTGTATTAACTGACTCACCGATGGGTTTTGGCACCCATCCTCCAGCTGCGAGCTGACCCTCTTGGCACTGCCCAGAGCACAACTGAGCCGAACGTAAGGTGCAGGCTTCCCTGGGCTCTGCCCTAACCACAGCACTTCTCTCTGCCTTCCTTCTGCTTTGTTTGTCTTTTCCCCTTCTGACCTGCAGCCTCACTCTGTTCCTTTCACTTCTTTCTGCTCAGCCTGTTCTCCCCTAATTAAGCCCCTCTTTACAGGTTGGCAGTAAGGTGCTGTTTCCTGCCCCCATTCACTCACACGTTCCCTTCCTGCATCCGTAGTGCCAGCTCAGGCAAGGCTGGTTGTTCATGGCACCTCCTGCAGTCTGTGCTGTGCTGAGGTCGGTTGTGCTCCAGACTTGGCTGCTCCACAAGCATAACTGTAGCAGGATTAATAGTAGCACACAAGTCATTTGCCCTCCGTTGTTAGTGGTGCCTAAATACAATTGCACCTCCTATGAGTAGGGGCATTTCTGCGGGGAGAGCATCTCGTTTACCCTGTTTGCATCACTCCAGTTACAGCTTTAAACTCTGAAGAAGAGAATGATCCTCCAACCTACAAGGAAGCCTTCCCTCCGCTCCCTGAGAAAGCACCATGTTTGGAAGCTGCCCAGGAACCTGCTGGGCCCTGGAGCAAAATCCGACCGATAAAGGCTTCTGTCATCACTCAGGTTGGTGGGAGCGGGCGAGGACGTCTTATCTCCCTCCTTTTACTCCCTCCAAAAAGTAGGTGAAGCGAAGCTTTCCCTAGAGTATGAAATCGTTAGCGTGTCAGATTGACAGCCTCTTTGCCATACTTTACCCTGGGGCACGAGGAGGACTGCAGTTGAGAGCTAGGACTGCGCCGGAGGGGAGCGATGTGTGGAAAACTGTCCAGAAAAAGCTCTACATCCCTGTTCCACAAATAGCTGGAGCAGGCCTGAAGGGAAGCTTGCAGAATTCAAGTAGTGAGCACTAATGGATTAAAGCATTCCCCCCATAACTTAGCACTTTTGCCTGCCGGATGTGGTTTAGGAAGACACTCCAGTGTGGGACAGACTGCCTGCTGCAGTGCTCTCGTGTTTCCCCTGCTCACAGCTGGTTTCTCCACTGGAAAGGCTGATGGGTTGCGCAGACTCGAGAACTTAGCGTGCCAGTAAAGTCCTGTATAGCTGTAAGAGAGGGAGGCACTGGCAATCAAAAACATGCTGACTGCTCGCTGTGCCCTGTTTCTGTCCTGTGGCTGAGCAGGTGTTTCATGTGCCACTGGAGGAGAGGAAGTACAAGGACATGAATCAGTTTGGAGAAGGCGAGCAGGCCAAGATCTGCCTTGACATCATGCAGAAGACAGGAGCTCACCTGGAGCTGTCTCTCGCAAAGGACCAGGGCCTTTCGATCATGGTCTCTGGCAAGCTGGAAGCAGTCATGAAGGCTCGGAAGGAGATTGTCGCTCGGCTGCAGACTCAGGTGAGGGCATCTAACTGTTTCTCACTCTATCTTGCTCTTGCCCAAGACTCACAAATGCTTTGAGACCCTTGGGCGTGTGTGCTTATAAGCCGAAGAGGTATTATTAGATGACTAATTCAGCTTTGCCAGGTATTTTCAAAGCACACAATTGGCAATTTGGAATGGAAATGAGGCTTAAAATAGGGTTCAGAGCTAATTACAGGCCATGGTGTTGCATGAAGGGTGGAGTCTGCAATCTCTGAACTCTTGAATTGCAACCAGTGACTTTGTGCTGAGGTGCTGGTGCCAGAGAGGGTGTGGGCCCCTCACACAAAGCTAGCAGTGTGCAAGAATGGGAATGTGCTTTCTCTGAAGTCCTTCAGAGAACGTGAATGGATGGGAGAAAGAAAAGTAGAGGAAGTCCTGCCAAAAGCCGAAAGCTTCAGGTCAGGCTTCTGGATTGTCACACTGGTAAGGAGCCACAGCCCTGTTGTTTGAGTTGCTTCTCCTTTCAGTCCTTTAGGATTTTATTTCTTACCTTCAGATTCTTGAGTTCGTAATCAAGATGGTAGTTCTTGTTAGGATATACCACAGCCAAGTTTCTTGGTGTGTTTTAAAATGTAATGTCAAAGGTAGTTAAAGCAATAGTTAATACCGTGTCTGCTTGATGCCATTCAGCCCGTGTGTCATACCTTGCCAGAGGGAAGGGAAAGGGACAAACCCTGCGTAATGTCCACCTGAAAAAGTAGTTCAGGTCGTACTGCCACACATCCACTGTCCTCAAATACGCCTCCTACTGCCCCGGCCCCAGGTCTGAAAGATGTGTCTGTATTCCCAACTTCTAGGCTTGGCTGCCTTCAGCACAGGGACATATTGTTGAAAAGTCACACCAAGTGATTTTTTTTTTTTTTTTTCCATTGTAGCTCGAATTTTGAATGTCTAATTGCTGTTAGTAGTTACATATTTACAGAGATCGAGAGCATGGTAGCGATCGTAAGCTACCAGGTCAGGAAAAAACTCAGTGAGAAGGGAGGAAGTCAGGAATCCCTGTTACAAACCAGCTCTTTAGTGGTAGATTGAGAGAAGTTCTTGGGACCCCTTTTCCAAGAGGGGCCTTCTAGAAGCAGTCCCAGGAGCAACTTGTGCCACATTGAAGACACCTTAGCACTTAGTAGCAGTAAGCATCTCCTAGCTGTCTGCCTGCTGGAATAGGTTTCTGGTGTTGAATTTCTGTTTCCTAGGAGTCAGGCTGTGTGTCTTGGTCTCTGTAGCCTTGGCAGCAGATGTTAGAATTCAGATAAACTGTGAGCTGTCATCTCAGTTGCTGTCTGGTACTGCTCCAGTGTCTTACACTGGAGGATAGGCATCTCCTCGTCTCTGCCTAAAGGCCTTTGCTAATTCAGAGGACTACTTCTTTGCAAACAGAATGGTTTTGAGGGAAAGGTGAGGGTTGGGCTCCTGGTATACAGGCACCATAGATCAGCTGTTCTGGTACAGTATCAGTCCTTGGACAGAATGTGGTGAGAAGGCCTCAGTGGTACCACTAAGCGGCATGTAACTTGCCTTCTCTTGCTCCGTTCCTCTGGATCTGCCAGTGCCGGCAAGTGTCCTCACAGATGCTTGGTTCCTGTGTTGCAGGCTTCAGCGACAGTTGCCATCCCCAAGGAGCACCACCGTTTTGTCATTGGAAAGAATGGCGAGAAGCTGCAGGACCTGGAGCTCAAAACTGCAACCAAAATCCAGATCCCCCGCCCGGATGACCCCAGCAACCAGATCAAGATCACCGGCACTAAAGAAGGGATTGAGAAGGCCCGACACGAGATCCTGCTTATCTCTGCGGAGCAGGTACTTCAGGACTCTGATCTGTCTCGTGACATTAGCTAGACAGCCATTTTGCTTCTCTGTGGTGTGTTAGATGTTTGTAGCCACCGTGGCCACAGCCAGTGGCTAATATGTCAAGTCTGAACGGAGTCATGTGCTGTGCCACTGGCTGTACAAGCACCGCTGCCAAGTTCTGCAACTTCTGGTTCTCCGTTTTGTCCAGCTCTGAAGTCAGATAAGCGTATTTCGTATTTGAAGTGAACCATAATAGGTGCCAGCTGAGATAAGGCAGGATATTCCAGAGGTGAGTATCGTAAAATATCAGCAGCATTTGCAGATTGCAAGGGATGGAGATCTACAAGCCTACAAACTGAAAAGGGTGCTTGAGCCAGAGTGTCCAGCAAGACAGCACTGGGGACTTAGGTGTGTCTGGCAGGACTATAATGTGGAGGGCAGTTCCCACCGAGGTCTGTTCTGGGCTCTTCCAGGATAAGCGTGCTGTGGAGCGGCTGGATGTGGAGAAAGTGTACCACCCCTTCATCGCTGGCCCTTACAACAAGCTGGTGAGCGAGCTCATGCAGGACACAGGGACACGCATCAACATTCCTCCACCCAGTGTCAACAAGACAGAGATAGTCTTTACAGGAGAAAAGGAGCAGCTAGCCCAGGCTGTGGCTCGCGTTAAGAAGATCTATGAGGAGAAGGTATGGATGGTATATAAAGCTTCTCATCTTCCCCCTACCTGCTCATAGTCCTTCTCCCTTCGTGTTCTACTTTTGTGCATCCCTCTGTTGCATCCTCCTCATGTCAGCTCTGGCCCAGCAGCCCTTGCAGTACATGGCCCTGGATCTTACCATTTCCTCGCTCAGCAGAGTGGGACTTGGGGTGATACTACCAAGGAGGTGTCAGATTTCTTGCTTTTCTGTGTCATGGGAATTAACAGGCCACAAAGAGCTCCCCTGGCTCTTGTTCACGCAGGCGCTACTAAGGAAGGAAGTGTGAAGTCTACGGTGGTGGCCAGCTGACAGTAACAAAGTGGCTGAAGAGTGAGTTTCACTCCAGTTTACTTTCCACAGCCAGCATCACTGTGAACATCCTTGTGTGTTGTTGGGCTGTTTTTCCTCATGGTTAGGTCTGTACTTGTACCAGTCTGGATTTCAACAGAGATAATCAGCTTATAGCCTAGTAGCCTACCTGGTGTTGCATTGCAGTGCTGCCTGGGGGACAGCTGGGTGTTGAGCCCTGGTGCACGAGAGCGTGTGTGTGTGTGTGTATGTGGTCTTTTCTGTGTCACCTCCCAGGGAGCTCGACACAGAATACTAGTTTTGTACTTCACCTCTGCATTTTTGAGCACAAGACTTTCTGTAGACAGGGGCCCAAAGGGTGCTAGGGTGCTGCAGAACCATTGTGCTCACCTTTGCTTCTATCTTTCCTGGGTGCAGGGTTTCACTGCATCTTGTGCCTCTTCCTTTCACCCTTTTCCTTCCCTGCCCCCTTGTGATTGATGCCCCAGTGCCTCTGCCCCTACAGAAAAAGAAGACTACTACCATTGCAGTGGAGGTGAAGAAGTCCCAGCACAAGTATGTCATCGGCCCCAAGGGGAATTCCCTGCAGGAGATCTTGGAGAAAACTGGAGTCTCTGTCGAGATCCCACCCACTGACAGTAGCTCGGAGACGGTGATACTGCGAGGCGAGCCTGAAAAGCTTGGGCAAGCATTGACTGAAGTCTATGCCAAGGTACCGACGAGATGGGCTAGGCCTTCTTTGGAAGCCCCATAAAGTCACATCCATGAGCACTGACAGGCGTAAGGGGGTGGTCTCTGTTAGAGATGCAGCTCAGAAGTCAATACAGAGCATGCAACATGGGAATTGGAACTGAAATTTTGTGAAGACCTCTTCCAGTCTGTCCGTCAAACAGCTGCTCTGTTTTTCTGTCTCTCAGGCCAACAGTTTTACCGTCTCCTCGGTCTCTGCCCCCTCTTGGCTTCATCGTTTCATTATTGGAAAGAAAGGACAAAACCTGGCCAAAATAACTCAGCAGATGCCAAAGGTATGGATGAGCTGGTTAGCTTAGCACCCTCTGATGTAGAATACGGTTTAGTCCAGATCACCCTTTGTAGAAGAAATGTTTTATAGCGTGGGTAAAACCAGGGAGGAGATGACACAGATCTTGGTGTTAAGGGGAGCCTCTCTTTTACTGCTGCAAACACTACTCATCCTATGTTATTCTCGTGGGTTGAGCCCTTCAAAGAAAGCTTTATGTGGTACTACTTTGAGAATTGATGTAGTAGGATCCCTGCAAATGCTGACTTCAGCGAGGCTTCTCCCTGGTGTGTTAGGTGATATCTAGAGAAAGCCCTTGCAGACTTCAGGACAGCACCAAAGCCTTGGGCTCTGGACACTGTGATATGGTCCGAGTTGTAAGTTACCTACGTCTGAACCCATGAGAATGATGTGTGTACTTTGTGGGAAGGAAACCATCTCTTAGTGGCAGGGATTGATGGTGTAGGCCTTACTAACAGCATTGACCTGGCTTGTATCTTGGAAAATTCTTACTGGATTCATTGCTGGCTCTCAAGGTTCACATCGAATTCACTGAAGGAGAGGATAAAATCACTTTGGAAGGACCTACAGAAGATGTGAATGTGGCTCAGGAACAGATTGAAGTCATGGTCAAGGATCTGGTAAGTTGGTGTTACTAATTCCAGTACGTAAGAAGAAAGTGGAGGAAGAAGGGGCAACAGAGCAGAGATGATGAGGTGTGTATGACATCCATATGATGTCTTGATACGCTTGAGAGAACTTGCAGAAGACAAGTTGTGTGGCAGATGGATGAAACCCTCGGTTACAAATCCCGTCCGTAGCATTCTTAAAAAATCAGCAGCAGGTCTTAAATCTTTTGACGCAGAGAAGGAAGGGTTCTCTTTGTCGTAGCTGGAGAAGCATGTAAGTCCCTTTAAATGCTCTCAGCTCAAACCAGAGGGGTGCTGCTGCTCTGCTCAGCAGCAGGAGGAACAGCTGACTAGTGGGGAGCCGGTGCCCATGCTGACAGTAGGCATTTACTCAGGGCACAAGACGGAAGTGGGAGCCTACCCTGTCTAGCCCTGTACCATTTCTTGCAGATCAACCGGATGGATTATGCAGAAATCAACGTTGACCACAAATTCCACCGACACCTCATTGGCAAGAATGGAGCTAACAGTAAGTGGGGTGCCTTTCCAGTCCTTCCTGTGCTCGGACGCTCCGTGTTCAGTAGATCGTATCAGGGGCTCTGTAGCTCACGCAGTGCACTGTCTCCATCACATTTCCTCTGCTCTTCCGTAGTGGTGTTGGCTCAAGGAGGTAAACAGGCAGTGAGGCCTTGGAGTGGATTTAATGTCTGAAAGTGTCTTGGGAGGTTGAACAGTGATGGGATTATTTTACCATGTCCTGGAGGAAATATTTTTTTTGGGGGGGTGGAGAATTGTCCACCAAAATTGGAGAATTTTTCCTTTTTTTTTTTTTTTTTAAGTTGCTCTATGGGAATTACATTTTTTGGAGACAGTTGGGGTGGTGGGAATCTACTTGGTGAGTTTCTCCCCAAAAAAGAATTTGTGATTAGAAATGAACGATCATCTTCTGATCTAAACATGGTGCTGTTTGGGGAAGAAACAGGTGCCTCACTTTGGCAAGTGACCAGTTGGCTCTGTAGATGCCACAGTGTTTGCTTGTACAGGTTCTTGTGTGGCACAGATCTCCTCTCACCGAAGTCCAGGGTGAAGAGGTGCTTTCCCTTGTTTAAACCCCACCCCACTGACCCCTTCTCAGAGGCTGGGTTACTAAACCAGCCTCTAAAGCAGTGACCATCAAGGTGCCTTGCTTCCAAGTCTTGGCCTAGCAGACTGCGTCACCACAGTCCTTGCCTTGAAGTTAACAGGATTAAGGACCTCTACAAGGTGTCTGTGCGCATTCCCCCGGACAATGAGAAGAGCAACCTGATCAGAATTGAAGGAGACCCACAGGGGGTCCAACAGGCCAAGAAAGAGCTGCTGGAACTCGCTTCCCGTATGGTGAGTAGGATGCGATGCTTGGGAAGCCACAGGGTTTGGGCTCTTATGTTCCCTCGGAACCTTCTGGCGCAGGTGCGTGCCCCTTGCCCACCGAGCGCTTGGATCTCGTGACAAGTGTGAGTTCCGCTTCATAGATATGTTCCTCTATTCCCTTGGATACCTCTTCTCTGTCAACCTAGAGTGAATTTTGCCTAGAGGAGAAAAGAGGGACGATACTGGCAAGCAAGCTGTCAGGCAGCAAACTGGTACATAAAAGTATGTGTCTCTTCTGCTCAATGTGAACTCTGTTCTCATCAGGAAAATGAACGCACCAAGGACCTAATCATTGAGCAGAAATTCCACCGGACCATCATTGGGCAGAAGGGCGAGCGGATCCGGGAAATCCGGGAGAAATTCCCAGAGGTAAGGCTTTCTGGGAGATGAGGAATCCAGAGGGGATATTTCCTACTTAGGTAGTAGACACATCATCGCTGAAGTCATGAATTTAGTGGCTCCGTATCTAGAACGTATGGGAAAATAATTCTTTTGGCCAGATGCTGCTAACATGGTTACCCTTTTCCAAATGGGACAGGGAATGTACAGGTTCCCCCCAACCTTTGCATGTCTCTGACAGAGCAGTTCTTACCTCTGCCTGAGTTGCCTATAAATGACCACCTCTTGCAGGTTATCATCAACTTCCCAGACCCCACGCACAAGAGTGACATCGTCCAACTCAGAGGTCCCAAAAACGAGGTGGAGAAGTGCACCAAGTACATGCAAAAGATGGTGGCAGACCTGGTAAGGGGGACTTGCGTTTGCTGTTCTCTCCTACGTGCCTGGATAGCCCTGGAATAAAGCAGAGGTGTGCTGGCTTGGCTAGGACTGAAACACCTCAAGATGAGGGAGCTGTGGAAGCTGTTGTGGCTGGATGGGGCAGGAGGGTAATACCTGTCATTTAAGGGCTATAGGGGAAGGTACTTTCCTTTGCTTATTCTTGCAAGTGTGTTGTATAGAGAACTTCCTTGGGTCTAAACCTATTGTCAAAAGCTTATTTGTCAAGTTCCAAGGACTGGATCTCTCTTGCCATGACACAGTAATCTTCAGTTCTCCCTTCTTTTCTCCCTTAGGTTGAAAACAGCTTTTCTATTTCTGTCCCCATCTTCAAACAGTTCCACAAGAACATCATAGGAAAAGGAGGTGCCAACATCAAGAAGGTGAGATATCTTTGCGATCTCCAATGCTCAGTATGGTCACTGTCTGCAGCTAAATGGGTTAGGTTTCCCTGCCCATGGCAGGGGGGTTGGAACTGGATGATCTTTGAGGTTCCTTCCAACCCAAACCATTCTATGATTCTAAATCCCACTCACTGCTCTCTCCTGCTCCCTGGGGATGTGAAATATAACCTCCAAGGGCTTTTCTGTGACATGGGACGCCTCTGAGATGATTTTACTGTTTTTTTTCTTTGTGGCAGATCCGTGAAGAAAGCAACACCAAAATTGATCTCCCGGCAGAGAACAGCAACTCAGAGACAATTGTTATTACAGGCAAGAGAGCAAACTGTGAGGCTGCTCGCCACAGAATTCTCGCCATCCAGAAGGAGCTGGTAAGGGAAACAACGGACCTGTTGCATATGAGGGATTTAAAAATGTTGCTAGAAGACATAAATATAGAAGAAGTGCTTGTAGTGGAGGAGGACAGGGAGGAGACAAGTGTGAGTGTGAGTCTGTTCTTGACTCGTAGACCTAAGTTTGTGCCTGCTCACATCTCAGGAGTAGCCAGTCTCAAACCCCTCCGGTCAGGCATTCGTTCCACACAGCTCTATAAAGCTCCTAGCAGTGTGGGAATTGGAGGATAAGCAGAGTGGGTGCAAACACATTTCTGCAGCTTGACTAACAGCCTGGTACTGTCCTCTCTTAGGCCAACATCACAGAGGTGGAGGTCTCTATTCCTTCTAAACTGCACAATTCCCTCATTGGCGCCAAAGGCCGCTTCATCCGCTCCATCATGGAGGAGTGTGGTGGAGTCCACATCCACTTCCCCACCGAGGGCTCTGGCAGTGACACCGTGACCATCAGGGGCCCAGCCCAGGATGTGGAGAAAGCCAAGAAACAGCTGCTGCACCTGGCAGAGGAGAAGGTGAGCCTTGTCTCACAGGGGAAGGAGCAGATTGTTTTGGCCAGCTGTTTCTTTTCTTGGGGTTGAAGTGATCCCTTCTGCCTGCTGGGAAGCCTCTGGCATCAGACAACCTAATCCTCTTCAGAGGCATTCGAGTACAGTTTGGATGATTAGAAGAAAACCATGCTTCCATCCTTGTGACAGTGAATTCCTGCCCCGTGGGTAGAAGAACTGGCTGTAACGCTTCTCTCCCCAGGCTGGGGACGTACTCAAAGGGTTAAGGCTCCCTACTCCTGTGGTTTGAGTGCTGTTGGGTATCCACACTTCTCTGAAACAGCGTACTCTGCGTATCTCCTTTCCTGTTTTCTTGATCTCTGAATTCCAGCTCCAGTTCTTCCATTTCACTGCATATGTACAGGTTTGAGAACCTCAGGCTACAAGACCTTGCTCTGAGTTCTGACTGACTGGTCATTTTAATCGCAAGAAAAAACCCTTTCTAATATCAGCGTGTGAACACGTTCCCCTGATGGGTTGGTTGCCTCTGCTGCCTGGCTTTGCAGCAGTCACTTAGCAAATCTTGTGCTGCCTTGCGTGAGTGTCAGACCCTTCTCCCAGGCAAAGTCTTTCCTGCTCATATTCTCACCAGTCGTGCTGAGGGCAGAGTTGCCTTTTCAGCCCTGAGAACGTCTTTTGGGTAGTGTTCTTGGTTTAAGACATCATAGACCTTTTTGACTTCAGCAGCACACTGTATCTACCTTGCTCTTGCAACGCTGCGTATGTGGGTGCAGGTGACGTACCGAGGTGCTCACTGGTGATGCTGATGTGTGTTTTCTGTGTATTGACGTTTTCCATCTGACTCCTTTCAGCAAACAAAGAGTTACACCGTGGACCTCCGTGCAAAGCCAGAGTACCACAAATTCCTTATTGGTAAGGGTGGTGGCAACATCCGCAAGGTGCGTGACAACACTGGGGCCCGCATCATCTTCCCAACCTCGGAGGACAAAGACCAGGAGCTGATTACGATCATGGGAACTGAGGAGGCTGTGAAAGAGGCCCAGAAGGAGTTGGAGGCCCTCATCAAGAACCTGGTATGAGCTACCTTTTCTCCTTTCTTGCCTTTCACTGTAGCGAGCTATAACGAGTCAGTGTGGAGGACCTGCATGTCCTAGAACCATTTGCTCCCCTTCATGGGAGCTCAGGAAGATCCTCCTCACTGTCACTTGTTGGAGTGAGGTTGTAAACTGATTGTTGTTGAGTGCAGCAAACTCGTGCTTGTCACCAGGAGAGGGTGACAAGCTTGTCACCAGAGGCAGGGCGCGCCGGGCGGGTGGTGTTCGCGGGGGGTGGTTGAAGACTCCATGGTGGTTGACCCCAAGCACCACCGCCACTTTGTCATCCGGAGAGGGCAAGTTCTGCGTGAGATCGCAGATGAGTATGGTGGTGTGATGGTCAGCTTCCCGCGGTCTGGCACCCAGAGCGACAAAGTCACCCTCAAAGGAGCCAAGGACTGTGTGGAGGCAGCTAAGAAGCGCATCCAGGAGATCATCGAGGACCTGGTATGTCACAGGAAAGCTGTTTCTTCTATACTTTGTAGCTTCAGCGGTGCCCTCCTTGAACCTGCTGTACAGCCAAGCTTTATGTGAACAGGTCTCACGGTCGTTCTGGGATTTGGAGCTTAGCTGTCAACGTACAGGGTCTGCAGACTTTAGATCCTAGCCTGGGGAATGGCAACTGGCTCCAAAATGGCAATGCTATCTGAAGGAATTACCTTCTTTGACTTGGTTTTTAGGAGTGGAAATAGGAGACCCTTCCTTGGTGTCCTTCTAGACATGAAAAGATTGGAGCCTTTTGTGCCTCTCCATGCCTGGCCTGGGCAGTGGTTGTTCTCTGGGGTTTTGCTGTGCTGTTAGTATTGTCTTTTGTAAGCAGTCAACTGTCAAATCTGTTTTCCTTCCTTCTTTATCTTTTTCCTTTCTTCTAATGCTTCCTCCTCTTCAGGGTAATAGAGAGCTTGAGCTTTGGTCTCAGAAGCCTCTAACATCATGGGTTGGAAGGGACCTCAAAGATCATCCAGTTCCAACCCCCCTGCCATGGGCAGGGACACCCTCCACTACACCAGGTTGCCCAAAGCCCCATCCAACCTGGCCTTGAACACTTCCAGGGATGGGGCAGCCACAGCTTCTCTGGGCAACCTGTGCCAGTGCCTCACCACCCTCAGAGGGAAGAATTTCTTCCTTAGATCTAATAAAAATCTCCCTCTTTCAGTTTAAATCCATTGCCCCTTGTTCTATCACTTCAAACCCTTGTCCAAAGCCCCTCTCCAGCTTTCCTGTAGGCCTCCTTCTTGTACTGGAAGGCTGCTATAGGGTCTCCCCAGAAATCATCTGCTAGCTTCTCTGAGAGAGGAAAGATTCCAGGCAATTTTCAGTTCTTCTCCTGACAGCAGCTGTTATCTTTTCTAACTCCTGGCTGTGTCCATTGTGGATTTCACCATCCTGTTTTCTGGTGTGAAAGAGGCTGCATTGTGATAGAGCAACTCTGCTTTCTCACAGGAAGCTCAAGTGACAATCGAATGCACCATCCCACAAAAGTTCCACCGCTCCATTATGGGCCCCAAAGGATCCCGAATCCAGCAGATCACCCGGGACTATGGTGTCCAGATCAAATTCCCTGACAGGGAGGAGAACCCAGGTATACCCATGGATGCATGTTCACATGTAGTTGGGGTGATGAAATGAGGGTAGTGTAGTATAGCCTACACTCTTATCAGTGGAGATGTTTGGCTTGAAAGCTGTGGAGAACTGACCCCAGGTGTTCCCTGCAGTGTCCTTGAATCTGGGCTTAGCATCAACCTTGCCCTCTTGGGAAAAGGAAGCAGTTTTAGGAGATAAAACCGCAGCCTGGGTGTTCTGAATGTGTTCTCCCTGCAGAGCGCAGGGAGTGTGAAGACCTGCCCCAGCAAGAAGGGCTGCAGGCTTGCCAAGGTCTCACTGATCTTCCGTGCTCTCGTTGCTGGGTGTATGGAATTCAGCACAGCAGGGGCCTGTTGGATACTCTGGGCTGTACATCCAGTGCTGTGCTGGTGAACGTCCCTGTCGAGGAGGAAACTGCCAGCCTGACTCGTTACCTCTGCTGCCGTAGGAGTGCAGCCTCCGCTTCTTCCGTGCAGGCAGAGGCAACGTCAGTGCTGTGCAGAGAGGTGTGGAGGAGGAGACTGTCTCAGCGGATGTTCTTGTTCTGCTCGGTCCAGGCTAAGCCATGGCAAGCTGCCTGGGCTAGGAGTAGCCTCCTCCAGAGGAGTCTCTAGTGTCTGACTTCTTGTGGAAAAGCCCAGGCTGAGCCTGAGGATCTGGAGGGGAAGGTAATGAGCAAGGAGGGGGCTGTGTGCATTTAACACGAGACTCTCCGTGTTTCTAGCCCCTGTTGCAGAGCCAGCTGTGCAGGAGAATGGTGAGGAAGGTGGGGAAGGCAAGGACGGGAAGGATGCAGACCCCAGCTCTCCGAGGAAGTGTGATATCATCATCATCTCTGGCCGCAGGGAGAAGTGTGAGGCAGCAAAGGAGGCGCTGCAGGTACGTGGCCTTCTAAGCCCCTTAGCCCTGTGACGTAGTGATGCCCTGATGCAAGAAGTTCACTGCAGGCTTTCGTGGTGGTAGTAAATGCTTCTCAGTCGAGGTTGCCCTCCAGGTGGTCGCTGACGATAACTGTAGAGGTGGCTGTGCTGCTCAAGGGAAGTCCTGTGCTCCGTGATTTAGCCTGGCAGCTTGAACCATAGCGCCTGACCTTGCAAGTGCTAGAGCCTTGTAAGCAGCCCCGAGTTAGTTGCCACAAAAGCATGACATGCTTGTTTTATGGAGCACGGCTGGAAAGAGACGGAGTCTGATTGAGGCGGAGTCACTGTAGCTTTAGGAGACCTTGCCATGCTCCTTTAGTGATGTTTTCCGAGTCTCTGCTAGATGGAAGCCAAGGGTATGAAAGCAGCCTGTCCCCAGAGGCAGGGTTGAAGATTGCTTGTTTGGAAAAAAATGCTTTAACACCCAACAAGTCATCTTGGTGTTCGCAGCTGTTCCCTTTTCCTGTAGAGTTTGTATCCTGGCTACAAGGGAATGTACCTCAGTTCAGCACCATGTTCTTTTGGGCGAGTATATCAGAAGCTGAAAGACAGGAGAAATCTTTCAACTGGTAAACTGTGCTCCCTCCCTCCCCTGCAGGCTCTGGTTCCGGTCACCATCGAGGTGGAAGTTCCCTTTGATCTTCACCGTTACATCATTGGCCAGAAAGGAAGTGGGATTCGCAAAATGATGGATGAGTTTGAAGTAAGTTGTTCCCCTTCCTCCCGTCTCCTCTGTCCTGGAGAATCTGTGAGTGACCGTGTTTGTGGTGGTGGCAATCCCTTGTGACATACTTAGGACTGTTGTGCCTTGACCATGGAACAGAGGCTCTGAACTGAGAACACGAGACCTGTGTGATGTAGTCCCTGGCTCCGGGGCTCGGTGGGTTTCACGCTGAAGCTGTATGATTGGTGCTGATGCCGTGAGTGTTGCAAGACTTGTTTGGTGCCTACAGAGATTCCTCACCAGCCTGAGAGTTGTTTCTCTCCTAGGCCACGGGAAACAGCTCTGCTGTGCCTGCCCGTTCGGGAGAATCCCCTAGAAGCCCACAGGGACTCTTGGGGCTGATGCAGGTTGGCTGCAGACAGCGCTGTCGAACACGGATTTGTTTCCTGGCCTATCCAGGCCAGCACAGGGGCTGCTGAGGGCTGAAGCCCCACAGCAAAGCAGTCTGATAATGACTGAAGAAACCGAGTTCTATTCAAAAACCATCTAGACACGGTCCCAGGCCACTGACTCTAGGTGGCCCTGCTTGATCAGGGGGTTTGGACCAGATGACCTCTAGTGGTCCCTTCCAACCTCAGCCATTCTGTGGTTTCAGCTGTCTGGGTGAGAGCTGGTCTTGGCAGCAGGGGAGGTCAGCAAGGTGCCAGCTGGCAGTGGTAGGTGTCACTGGTGATACAAAACGCTAACCACTGCTTGTTCCTCAGGTCAACATCCAGGTCCCTGCTCCTGAGCTGCAGTCGGATATCATCACCATCACTGGGCTGGCTACCAACCTGGACCGTGCCAAGGCTGGGCTGCTGGAAAGAGTGAAGGAGCTGCAGGCTGAACAAGAGGATCGGGTAAGGCCTGTGCCTGTCCTTCTTCCTTCCACCTAAACAAGGCTTCAGCCTCGGGGTGTTCCTTTCAGAAGTTGTTGGACTCCTGGAACCAGGAACTCCAGAAGTTGGACTCCTGGAACCCTTTGCTTTTTAAGAGCGCCTTTAAGTGCCCTGCGGGTGTGGAGCGCTTGTAAGTGGGTTACCCAAATGTTACTCGTTTAACATGAACTGACATGAGAGTTTTGGGATTCTAATTTAGGTAACTTGGGACTGTCCAGGGCTCTATGACACCTTCATGTACCTTCGAACCACTGCAAGGTGGGAACCTCGCTGTGCTAGGAGTCTCTCTCTACCTATTCTTAATGAATCCTTATCACAGCTTTGAATAAAGAAGTGGGAGATGAGTTGGGCGATGGCTTGCTACTTGTACTTTCCTGC